CCCCCCCCTTTCTGTTGGCAACTCTAAAAAGACTATAGAGATATTTTATGAGTTGACATTATGGATTTCAACTCCTAGAATTCCTCAGCCAGCTTTCCTGGGAGTTGAAGTCCACATATCATGCCCTTTTTACGAGTCAGACCCTGAGGGAGAGGAGGAACAGCCAACAAGGAGTGGAGGTGTTGCTCAGGAGACTGGGGAAGGGCAGAGGCCAGCTGGGCAGTCAGAGGAAGAACCAGGCCCATCCCCTCTTCATCCTAGGACACTCAGGGAGGAACGGAGAAGGAAACAACTTGGCTTGCGAGAGAGGAAGCGGCCATGATCCCCCTCATTGGTTACAGCTGGGGAGAATAGTATATAAGAGAGACAGTTACAACACAGCGTTGCCAGAAGCAAAGCGTGTTTTATTTTGGGCTGAAGTAATCTTGGCTGGCATTCTTCCAACAGACTGTGCCTTGTTATCTCCTTGAAGTTGGTAATTACTTATCCTGATCCATTGTGGAAATTCCTCCATTGTAGTTTGTTTTGGTTTTTTATTTCATCTCTATCTGCTCATTAAGTTCGGACTGTATTGCTTTCTTTTGAAGACTATTTTGAGTACGTTTTATCTCCAGCTGAGAATTATTGAACAGTGGGGCCAAGTTGGAGGCATTAAAGGACATTTATTTATGTTTTGGATTTTGTTACGTTTGTGTTACACTCCCGATCATCACAGCCCAAGTCTTAAAGTGTCCAAGGTTGGAGGCCCCTGCCCCAGAACACAAATATTTTTGGTGGGCCTTCCCACTCATGAGAGATGTGTACGGTGAGACAGAATCATCCCGCTTCTGTTGGTCAGCCAGGATTAGCCCTGGAGATAATTTCATGAGCTTCAACGCAAAGATATTCGTGGGTGGAGATTTAAAAAAAAAAACCACAGAAGAAACTCACCTTTAAAAGGGCTGAAATGCTTCTGTTTTTTTTTTCCAGACTCCCATGATAACCAACTTTAATCCAAACAACACGGTGGCCTCTGGTAATTGTGGCAAGACAACCGCTGTGCTTCGGTTGAGTGACGGAAACTTTAAAGTTGATTTCCTGTTTGCTGTGGTGAGTAGCAGTAGCCGTAGCACTCAGACTTATATACTGCTTTGTGGTGACTTTCCAGCCCTCTCTAAGCGGTTTACAGAGTCTGCTTATTGCTCCCGACAATCTGGGTCCTCATTTTATCGACCTCGGAAGGACGAAAGGCTGAGTCAACCTGGAGCCTGGTGAGAAGCCAAATTGCAGGCAGGCAGCAGAAGTAGCCTGCAGTAATGGACTCTAACCACTGCACCACCAAGGCTCACCACTGGGGCATCTACCAGTTGATGCACCGACTTTATTTATTTAGGTTTTATTTTCCCCTTGCAAATCAATTTACCCTTTCCTGATAAAATGAGAGAAAGCTAGGGAATCCCTTTCAAGTTTTTGCTGGAGGAAGTAAAGAAGTTCCCAACCAGTTTTTTTCCAGAATTATTGCTTCAGCCTTAAATGCAGCCACTGCAGGACCATTTTACAGTCTTTCAAAATTGGATCGCTTTCATTAAACCGTGAATTAACAGCCCGTTGCAGTATCAGATTACACCCAGCAGCACTGAGATATCCAATTGGGACTTCAGTCTGTTAGGTATTTGTTACATCTACTTCCATGCTAAAGGCATTTGAGTGAGTTGCCTGCTAGGAGCTTGACACCCGAAGGGTCATTTTTCATGGAATGAAAGGGAGGAAAAATGATTCGGTGCAATCAATGAAATTCCGTTGAAACAAAAATGGAATTTATTTTTCCCTGCTCCGCTTTTCAGAGAATTAAGGGTGCTGTAATCCACCCTCTTTCCCCAGAATAAATAAATAAATTACCATTGTACGGTATGTTTGTGCTGTTGGGAGTAGTGCGGTGGCCAAGAGGTAGAGCTCTCGTCTCGCAGTCAGGAGGCTGTGAGTTCGATCCTAGGTAGGAGGTTGGTATTTCTCTCTCTGGGCACAATGAGAATATATCTGCTGAACAAAACTCCTCATTGGTGACAGGAAGGGCATCCGGCGCCAGAATAAATAAATATAATTGAACGGTATGTTTGTGCTGTTAGGAGTGGTGCAGTGGCCTAGAAATGGAGCTCACAATTGCCTCACAATTAGGAGGCTGTGAGTTCAATCCTAGGTAAGATGTTGGTATTTCTCTCTCTGGGCACAATGAGAATATATCCACTGGGAACAAAACTCCGTATTGGCAACAGGAAGGGCACCTGGCCAGTAAAACACCCTGCTAGCTCCATTCAGTTGCCTAGATTCCACCGCGCAAGGGATTATGGGGTCGTTAAATGTTCATGCTGTTAGGTTTCCCCTGAAAAAGTATTCTCGGTAAAAGTATGTCCATTGTATATGTGTTAATTGGTGTTTCGTTTTGTGAAACAGAAAAATTCAACCTCTTCGGAAAAATTCTATCTGAAAGGAGTGGATATCACTGTGGCGGATTCACCAAATGGTAAGAGAGGTTTGGTCACTGGCAGCCTACTGCAGGTGGTCCTCAACTTACAACCGTTCGTTTAGTGACCATTGGAAGTTACAATGGCGTTGAAAGAAAAGGGACTCCGCCAACTCTGAGACACATCATTCATTGTCACCCTTGACCCTGGTTTTCCTCCCACCCACCCCCGGGTGTATCATAATTCATATTCTCCAATGGGACCCATCCATAGCCCAGAATCATCAATCATGCTCTCCAGTTAGAATTTGTGATGAGCCAGGGATACAAAATAAACACAGTCACAAAAACAGGTGAAGCCCCTTTTATTCCTTCACTTTGCTTCAAAGCTCCAAACATCCTTGACTGGAGACAAAAAAACTCCCCCACAAACAATTACGGAAAGGAGGAAATGCCATTTAAACTAAAAATGCCTATAAATTATAAAGAGTAAAAACAACACAGACCACACTGAAGCGAATAAGGGAACCAGACAAGATAAGGGCTTGAAGATGTCCGCAGATATCGGAACACACACCGGGAAGGACACCAAACTCAGAGAGGAACGACAGACTAGAGACATTTCCACGCTTTGTTTCCAGCACTGGCCCATACGCATGTCTGTCCTTTTAACCAGTTCTCACAGCTGCAGCCCATGAAGAGGATCAAGGCCCTCTCCTCCCCCCGTAGACCACGCCATTCGTGTCTCTCCCGTAACCTCTCCTCCCTGTGTGCCCTAGGATGGAGAGGGGATGGGCCTGGGTCTTCCTCGGACTGCCCAGCCGGCCTCTGCCCTTCCCCAGGCTCCTCCACAACCTCTCCACTCCCTGTCGGCCGTTCCTTCTCTCCCTCTGGGTCAGCCTCCAACAGGGGCATGACAGAATTTTGCAGTGGCAGAAACTTCAGTCACCTAGTTACTATCTTTAAAAAACTATTTACGGAATGCAGTTTCAGTTTGCAAGCTGCTGCACTGCTCTCCCTTCCCTTTCTGTTGGTAGCTCTAAAAAGACCATAGAAATATTTTATGAGTTGACAGTTTGCACTTCTTTAACGAAAAATGTTTTGCAAGAAATCCTCCAAAAGAGAACGGCACAAACTTTGGTCAGGATATTGACTCTGAGAAGGATATGGTTAACTGTCTTTCCTCACCCAGTTCCTAAGGACAGTGAGTCACCAGCAAAACCGAAAACCAAGAATTAGGTTGGTTGGAGAAAGTAAACATCACTTGGAATTGTTTCCCAAAAAGCACCCCCAGCAAAAATGCCTTTTGTTTTTGTTTTTGTTTTCAGTGATTCAGTGCTTCATTTGACTCTGGTTTCTTAGAGATCTTTTTGGTGCTTTTCTTTTAATAAGCAGACAATTGTTACTTAATAATGACGCAAGCAAAACACAAATGGTTGGTTGCTTAGATGTGTATCAAGCAACTCAGTTAGCCATGGACAATATATTGAGCAACTCATATGCATTTGAACAAAAGGAAAGAAGTGGTTAGAGGTGTTTATTGAACAAAACAACTCGCTAGAAACATGACTAGATTATCTGAGAATCTTTTTCCTTGACTCTCTGTTATTTTTACAGTGGACAACCAGAAATGCATACCCCGCCCCCTTGCAAAACAGGTGCATAGTAAAATATAGCTCCCGCTATTGTATAAAGAAAGCAGGTGGTTAAATTAAATATATAGAGAGCCACTTCGATCTAAGAGTTGTAAGAAGCTAGAAAGCCAAAGACTGTCCCACCTTAGGCATGAAAGCCAGCTGGGTGACTTTGGGCCAATCTCCAGGAGACAGTGAATTCTACTGTCGCCTTAAACCTGAAAGCCAGTTGGGTGACTTTGGGACCAATCCTTTCTCAGTGCAACTCACCTGACAGGGTGGTTATTGTGGGGAAAATAAAAGGAAGGAGTATTTAATTTATTTGCTGCCTTTTAATTGTTCATCTTAAAAAATAAAAGCCGGGATATAAAATTTAAAATAAATGAAAACAACACATTATTGCCATCCAAGCTCATCTACCACCTTGTTCCTCTTCAGCTACTATTTCGGCCTCAAATCACACCCTCAACAACTGGGAAACCACCATGGGGAACTCATACCTGTGCCGAAAAGAAGAATCGATCCTGGTGAGCCCTGGCTATAAAATAAACATCTTTGATTTAAAGATCCAGCCATTTGAAGTGGAAGAAGGGCAATTTTCAGCAGGTAAGAAGAAAAAAGCCAAGGAAGATTTAGGACTCTTCCATCTAAAGATTCAAGGGACAAATGTCTATGCAGATTATTATTCATCCAGGTCATGGTTGACATTTTTTGTTGTTGTTCAAGAGGCAACTGGACTTTCTGGTTTTTTTTTCTTTTGAAGACATTTTGCTTCTCATCCAAGAAGCTTCTTCAGTTCTGACCGAATGGTGGGGAATGGAAAGATTGATACTCCTTGCAGACAGCTGGTCATTTGCATCCTTTTAGCAAGTCATTGAGGCCTCTTGGAGGTTTATCTGTGTCCTCAGGGCCACCTGGGTGGTGCAAATGAGAGTGGAGCCTTCTTAGAACTGCTTGAAAGGACTTTGTTGTAGACTGGAGATAGATGATGTTGTATCCCTGTCCCTCTGTTGAGAGAGGGCTGTTCAATTTTGATCTAGATGACCTCTTTGACCCCTCTTTCAAGCCATCGATGCTCTCTATCCAAAATGTGGACTTTGCTGTCTTCAAAAGAGCGACCTTTTGTCTTTTAAATGCAGAACCTAGTCCAGATGAGTTGGTTTTCCTATGTTGTGCCATGCATTTATTCCATTCCCCACCATCCGGTCAGAGTTGAAGAAGCTTCTTGGACGAGAAGCGAAACGTCTTCAAAGAAAAACCGAGAAAGTCCAGTTGCCTCTTGGGTTGGGAGGGAAGCACCTTTGGGACATCGAAGGAACAATCAATCCAATGTGGAAACACCTAATCCTCAGCTTACAACCAAAACCAGAGCCGGAATTTCTCTTGCTAAGGAGGCCGTTGTTCAAGAGAGTCGAGCCCGATTTTGCAACCTTTTTTGCCTCACTGGCTTTGCTTATTTAGAAGCCTCCTGGGAAGGCCGCAAGGGGCCATCACATCACCCCAGGACGCTGCAATCCTCACAAATACGTGCCGGTTGCCAAGCGACCATATTTTGATCATATTCTGGGGGTTCTGTGACAATCGTACGTGCGAGCCGCTGTTTTCAAAATCGTGGTTGTAACTTCAAAATGGCGGCTGAAGGAATGGTTGTAATTTCAGGATGGCTTCCAGTCCCCAGATTGCATGAGCCAGAATGGTTATCGCTAGAGAATAGATAAAACTAACAATAACAATAAGAGTTTATGCTGTGACAACAGCTTTGGGGTATATATTGAAAGAGGAGTGCATTTCATAAGGGGTAGAGAAACTGATATATCTCATAGAAAACCATAGCCGGTTCCTTTAAAAATCAAGATTTCTGCTGTGAAAATACTTGGGGTCAATTTTCAAAGAATTTTCAAGTACACTTATGTCCCTCTTCTCAAAACGTTGAATATCTTAAAAAAAAAAAACTTAAGAACTTCTGACTCTTGAGCCTCTTCATCTTAAAACAAATTTATCTTAAGATAAACATACTTGTAAACGCTATAAAGGTAGTTTTGTGTTGAATTCAGTTTATTTTGAATGTCTCATAATCATCTTTTTTGGAGCCAAAACTTTTCAGATGATGAACAGGACTGAGAGAAGATTGACTTGAAGCCTGGATTGGCCTCTTAATCTAAATTTTTGTTCATTTTTTTCCCCACCATTCTTTTAACCCAACAAATGTTCAGGTTTTTTTTAATATGTATATATATGTGTGTGTGTGTTTTATGAAAGTTGCATCACCTTTAAGCATCTATGGAAAATTTTAACCTAAAAGCTGGTAAGTTGGCAGGCAAGAAAGCCAGAATATTCCCAAGATACTTGCGGAAGCAACCCCGTAACTTAGAAAACGATGTCAGATTTCACGAGGTTTTGATGTCCTCATGATAAGAGCATATAAAACTTCTAGCCAGAATGCGCACACATTGAAGGAGAAACCATGATATTAAAAGAAAAGTTAATGAAGAGTTCTGGTGGAATTTTAGCCATTTTTGAGATTCTGGCCAGATTTAATTTCAATCGTTGGCAAAAAGGCCATCTTGACGTCTTCCAAATTGGTCATCTGTTCTTTTTTTTTTTCTCAATTTCCATGGAAAATGTTATGAAAGCATCTCTTAAGATGAATTCTCTAAATTAGGTTTTTTAATGTCTGCGTGAAGACCGACTCTTTGGGTTCTCTTTTCAGCAAACATCTTTTGATTTGTATTCTTTCTTTTTGTCACCCCCTTTCTCATCTACAGCGGGAGAATGTTTGCAGGATGATGACACTGTTCTAATCCCAATTGTAGTTGGAGCTGCCCTTGCGGGCTTGATTGTCATAATAGTGACCACTTACATGATTGGCCGAAGGAAAACTTACGCTGGCTATCAAACCCTGTAGGGTCTGGTGGTTTGACTGTTCTTCAATCTTAAAGCCCGTTTCCCACATGGAAGCCAATTGTGTAAAACTTGTGAGATTCTATTTAAAAACGGGGAGCGCCTTCTCCCTTGAAACACAGCCAACAACTGATCTCATCCCATTGTAAGAAGGACTTGCAAACTGCGTCGGAGAGCTTAGGAACGGCCAAACTCAGACCTGAAATGAAACTTTTAAAACTTGAAATAGGGTTAATGTAGAGCTGTACCAGTCAGTCAGTAAATAAGTAATTCTTGAAAAGAAGGTTAGTTTTAACCAGGGTCAATTTAGGTTGTTAAAGCAATAGGAGTGCAAATCAAAGCATTTGCTAATTCTATGTTGTGTACAAACAATGGTTAACCTAGGTGCCATAACAACTGTAACCTGGGAATCTAGGCCTATCTACAAAGTTGTTTTCTTTCAGCATACGACATCAAACAAATCCATTGGGTTAACTACTTCAGCCTGAATAAGCTTAATGCACTCTTCTCTCTCTCTCTCTCTCTTTATCAATTTGGTAGCAATGACTAATTTCGAAACTCCACTTGGCTCTTTGAGACTTAAAATAACACAATAGCAACATTTTTAAATATTGGAGGAGTAGGTATCCCTGTCTTTTGTGGATACTTACATGTATGGTATTCAGCTTTGTTCGGGTATTTTCCCACGTCATTATAGTTGTGCTTTTAAAGTTGTAGCAACTTTACAGACGAACACAATACAGAAGCCTGATGATGGCAGATGAGATTCTGCCGAAACGTTGCTACAACTTTAAAAGCACAACTACAATGATGTGGGAAAATACTCGAACAAAGCTGAATACCATATATATGTGTGTGTGTGTATGTATGTATATGTATGTACACACATATACATAGAGAGAATGAAAACATTGTTTTAAGTATCCTTAGTTTGCATAGCAGATGTCTGAGGATTTAAATTCCTCTTCAGCTGAAGGACTTACTTATTATGAGCTGGGTGCAAATAGAAGACAGGCGTTGTTTAAAGAAAAACCAGTTTGCACTTTTTGTATTTGCAGCTATTGTAAATGGATCTGAGGATCTTAGCCTCAGAAAGTTGTTCCTTTGAAGTGCCTGTAGAATGTTAGCGCATAAATTCCCATTGTAAGCCTTCTTAACAAAAACAATGTGCAAAGGGCTACTGTTTAAGGTTTTATTTTTTTCTGATGATAATGCAAAGGCCACAAAAGATTGGTACGCCAACCTCATAGCAGTGGGCTTCTCTGCCAGTTAAACCACTTTCACAACTGGATCTTAAAGGTACTTTCAGTGTACTAAAACTCCCTACTTTACAAACAATTAAGTGAGCAGTAGCTCTATAATGATGCCTATTCTAAAAATGAAGAGGATAAAGTAATCCTACCCTTAGTTTAATGCAGGGGTCTTCAAACTTGACAGTTTTAAGACTTGTGGACTTCAACTTCCAGAATTCCTCCTCCAGACCTGTTAGCTTGGGAATTCTGGGAGTTGAAGTCCACAAGTCTTACACTTGCCAAGTTTGAAGACCTTTCGTTTAATATCTTGCTTTTCTCCTTAAATGTGCAACCGTAATTAAGGTTGTACTTAAATCACTCTTGCACTACTCTGTGGATTCAACAGCTCTTTGTGTATGTTTGTGTTGGTTAACAAGTACCAGTTAGTATATTTGTCAAATCGTTATTTATATGCTACCGTAGATATTTACAAAGACTGAACCAAGCATGTACTTTCACTTGAAAATATATCAATGTCTCTGTTGGATTTGCACCCAACGAAAAGTCTGAACAATAGAGTAACCGGCGTGTGTCAGTTCTGATAAATGTCTGCTTTTAACTGTTGGAGCAACTATGGTCTTTACTATGTTTGTACTTCTGTGTAGGAATTTGACTGTTTGCACATAGTTCTCTAATAAAAATTTCTCCTGTTCATGTGGAAATTTGGTGATGCTTAATTGAAAACCTTTCTCTAGAAAAAGCAGTCTTTGAAGACAATTTGTCCCTGTTTCAACTGGAATCTTTTAGCACTCTGCGTCAGAAAATTGTTTATTATTATTGTTTATTGTCTGTCATGAGTCTCACTTTGGCTAAGGTGTCTTTTTAATGTAAGCCATTATTTTTCTCAAACTTGGCAACTTTAAGACGTGGATTTCAACACCCAGAATCCTCCAGCCAATGTTCTGAATTCTGGGAGTTGAAGTCCGTACCTTAAAGCATTCTGGGAGTTGAAGTCCACACATCTTAAAGCATTCTGGGAGTTGAAGTCCGCACATCTTAAAGCATTCTGGGAGTTGAAGTCCACACATCTTAAAGAATTCTGGGAGTTGAAGTCCACATATCTTAAAGAATTCTGGGAGTTGAAGTCCGCACATCTTACAGTTGCCCTGGTTGAGAGACACCTGTATAGGGAGCCGGTTCTTGTCACCTTAACAAATTACACACAAATCCTCAACCAAGCAATACTGAAACTTAAAGCATTGACAAGTGTGACTTAGAAAGTCCGCTCTGTGATTGTAAGGTTGGAATTCACTGATCACCTGGCTTATCACCCAAGTGGCCCAGAGGAGGCCTTGTTGCCGATGCGAGCCAGCGGCCAGATCATTCCTATCATTTTTTGGACAGTAGGGGGCAGATGTGTATAACAGCCGATCTCCACTATTGATAGAACAAGATTAGATCCTAGGACAGGAGCCTCCAAACTTAACAACTTTAAAATTTGTGGACTTCAACTCTCAGAATTCCTCAGCTAGTCATGCTGGCTGGATTTGAAGTCCACAAGTCTTAAAGTTGCCAAGTTTGGAGACTCCTGTCCTAGGAAGTCTCCCTTTAAAAGTTGTGGGGTTTTGTTGTGATCAGTTTGGGCAGAGACAGAAGCTAGCTTTAAGCATTTCCCAAGATCAATACAAGGAAATGCTTTTCCTGCCTCTTGGCTTCTTCTGGTCTGGACCACAATCACAGATGTAAAAGCAAGCACTCATTGGATGTGAAAGGCCTGTGTAGCACCCTCCAATGATTTTTTTCAAACTCAGTCAATTAAGATGTCTGGACTTCAATTACCAGAATTTAGAATATACAGTTCATCTGGAGATATATATCTTTGCTCCAACGAAACCATACATTAACGAAGTAGACAATAGTTGGAGACTTGGAGATGGTGCTCTTCGGTTCAATGCATTAAGCCATCATGGTTAGTTTAGTTGTCATTTGGTCTATTGGACAAAGCCAATCATTGGAGCTTATTCTGATGAGAGTCATAGAATTATTGTTACCAAAGCAAATGGCGCTGGTTATTCACCTAAATGACTAAATAAATGGAAATATTAGCCAAGGAGGAAAAAGATGGATTCATTTGAGATGTCTAGAGAGATTTCCTGGAGATTTTGCTTTATCAGTTATACTGCAGAATGATTTTCTTGAATAAATCACAGTGGCCCGGTTTATTATTAAGCCACAAATTGGTTTCCCAACCACCATGGCTGGAGAATTCCTGCTGGAGAAAGAATATTGCTTCCTTGTTTTGATTTCCAGTTCTCCAGGAACATCTGGAGCAATGTGGTGGACGAGAGAGTTGGTCTTTCCTTACCGAGTCTCGACAACCACAGGTCCCAATGTGAACATTCTGCAAATTGTGGTTCTTGAGATCCCAGAATTTCAATCAGAAGTCATATTGGCTGGGAATTGAGTTTTATATCTCTTAGAGGGGCATCTAGTTACCTTAACGTGTTCCATAAGCTTGGACTGTTGTTGGGCTCCCTGGGTCTACAAGAAGCTCTCTTGGCCAAAGTGTCTGAGGGCTTTGCAAGCGGGGAGATCTGCTTTGCTTTGTCGTTTGTGTTGGACAAGCAAAACATGGTTGAGCTGCCTTTGGCAACACGGTTGGGCCAGAGGCCAGAATGATGTTCTCTTCCAAAGAAGTCACCTGCTTAACTCTGTTTATCACCCTTTCTCCATCCAGCTGAAGATTGCATTCCATCAGGGGACAACTTCTTCGTGCCACTCCTGATGGCAGTAGCCTTGGTAGGCTTAGTTTGGTTGGTGGTGATGGCATATTGTACTAAAATTCGGCATCGTGCTGGCTATAGACAGATCTAGCGGCGAAAAACCAATGCAGGGTGAAGGCTTCCCTTTTCAAACTGCCAAGGAAGAAGGATTGGTGTTAATTTCTCACACTTGTTTGTAACTTTCCAAAAAACAAAAAAAAATCGCACAAAAGAACTGCTCTACCAACAGAAAGACGTTGGGGTTAACGGTCGTTGGATTGGTGACTTATTATGATCAGCTTAGAAGAGACTCCTGAATTTGGATTTAAGCCAATAGAAGCATAGAAAGGACCTACCCATTTTGGGGTGATTTAAAGGCGGCCAACATTGTAACTTTAACATGTTCAGCATCATTTTGAAAGAAGAAGTACACTAAATTATACTAAAGAAATTCAAGAAAAAAAGAGATACATGCTTCCAAACAGTTGGGTTTTTTTTTTTCATACTATGCTAGTGCTTTGCACCCTTATGAAAAAGCTGTGCTGTTGAAATGGGGTGTTTTTGTAAAACGTTGATGTCACAAAAGCATTTTTGAGGGTGTTGAAATATCCTGTGTTTGTTTTCTCTGCTGCTTCGGTTAAACCATCTTGCAAAGACACCAGCCAGAATTGCAAACCCATGCATGGAGAGTATGTGTGTGTGTGTGGAACCAGAAAGTGTTGGCGTTCCTAAACCCAAGATCGTGACTCGGTGTTGACTCTGCCTGAAATGTGAACCAGATTTTTGAACAGGGCAGCTGGATTCACATGTTACGAAGCCACGGCTTAATACAATAGCTACCCAGTCACCATAATAGTAAGCCAACAACTTGGTTTAGCCAGCCACATGGGATCAGGCTGGGATGGGGGTTAACTATTCTGGACATAGTTAGATCATTCCTATCTTCCCACAAGGTCAGCTACAAAGAAGTGCAAATTAGCAATTGTGCAAGTTAAGAGAGGGCCTGCTCTAATTAGCCCTGTCTGGTAAGTGTTCATTTGGGAAAGTTGGTAAATCAGGAAGACAACTTAAGAGCCAAATGGTTAAGACCAACCCACCAACCCTTACCCAACATAAATTAAATTTAAGTATACTGCTATTTACGCTTCTGCTAATTTACCTGCCAATACTTGCTTTGATCGCTAACTAACCTTCTGTCTCTTGTTTTGTTTTGTTTTTTCCCCCCGTCTTTATCTCTGCAGCTGAAGAATGTAGAAGTTCTGATATTCTCTATGTCATCCCTATTGTGCTGGGTGTGGTAACTGGTGTCTTGGTTATTGTTGGCTTTGTGATTTTTATGGTTTCCAAACGCAAGGGTCAAGTGGATTATAACCCTGTGTAAATCTCCCTTCCCTTTTCCCCTCCTTCCCTTCCTCTTTTCCCTCCTCAGTCCATTTTCTTCCTTTTATTTTTTCCCTCAGCATTTACTCGGATGTTCTTTTTGAAATTAAAAACAGGAAAAAAAAAACTATCCACTTCGTTGAGAGTATTTTGGACTTGTTATGCTGTGGGCTGAGCTACACAGTGTGAGTGTGTGTGTGTGTGTGTATATGTATAAAGTTTTCACGGGTACTTACATGTATGGTATTCAGCTTTGTTCTGGTATTTTCCCACGTCATTATAGTTGAGCTTTTAGTTGTGCATGACAGTACAGAAGCCTGATGATGGAAGATGAAATTCTGCCAAAACGTTGCTACAACTTTAAAAGCACAACTATAATGATGTGGGAAAATACCCGAACAAAGCTGAATACCATACATGTAAGTACCCGTGAAAACTTAAGAAAACAAATACGTATGTAAGTATGTATGTATATGTATGTATATAATCTTGCATTGACACCTAAGGAAACGCTTCGTTTGTGGTGGTGCCTGAAAATAAAAGCGCCTACCTTCTCAAATGCGTTTTTCACGGGTCTTTCTTACGTGCTGGGAACTCTGATCCTACCACATCCAGCAGCTCTGGATTGAGAAAGCCTGCTTTGAACAAATAGGAAGCCGAGATCAACAAACCCCAGGTAGCCGTGAAATGGGGAAAGCTGTCTTAGGAAGGCATTGCCATTTTTTGTTCTACTATGACTGGAAACTCCTGAATTGCTGCATTTTGGGATTCTGTTATCGTGCATGGGGAGAAAAAAGCTCAAATCTTTACTGAAAGTGGAGTCCAAAAAGTTGGTTATATCTGGAAGAAATGGTGCTTTACTGTCCCACAAAGAGATTTGCGGCAAGAATTGAAGGGATTAAGTAAAGTTTTTAAAAAGCAGGAATTCAAAAGAACTTCCTAGTCTCTCAGATTTCCAATGTGGGAATCCTAATCTTGGTATACCCGAAGAGCCAGTTGGGTCTAGTGGTTAAGACATTGGGCTAGAAACCAGGAGATGGTGAGTTCTAGCCCTGCTTTAGCCAGCAAAGCCGGTGGAGTGACTTTGCCCCAATCGGCAGGAGATAATGAGTTCTAGTCCCACCTTAGGCCTCAAAGCTACTGGAGGACATTGGGCCAATCACCGGGAAACTTAGTTCTTAGTCCTTAATTCTAGTCCTGCTTAGGTGTGGAAAGCCAACAGGGTGTCATTGGGACTGTAATTCCCTTTCAGCCCAACCTGCCTCCTAGGATGGTGGTTATGGGGAAGATGAAGTTGTATTGTGTGTGTCCACCACCTTCAGTTATTGATAAAAATAAAAGGGGGGTATGTATAAATAAATAAAATGGAGTAGGGCTCCAACAGACCTCAAAAGAGCTGCTAAGGGTTTCATTTCAAGGTGGAATCCTAACCCTGGTGGATCGTTCTTCCCACATCCTGAGAGCCCATGGTACAGTCCATCAATGGCATTTTAAGGCCTACCCTTCAACGGCCATCCTTCAAGTCTTTTGTGAGCCCACAGGCAGTACAGAAAGAGGCTTTGTTAGGTTGTAAAGTCAGTCCTTTTATTTCAGGGTACAAACATTTGAGACCCCCCACACCTCTTCACAGCCTTCCCCCCAGCTGCGTCCCTCCCGGTCTGAAATGCTGCATCAGGAACGTTGGGAGGCAAACGAGGAAGCAGTCCGTACACACTCCAAATGCTGGTTCTCCTTGTTCGCATGTAGGTCTAACCACCCCATTCCAAAAACACGGAAGTGCGCGACTAAACGGAAGTCCCAGTTCTGGTGTCACCACTGTGGGGTGGGCCTTCCGTGGAGGTCCTTGTTCCCCTGTGGGGTATTTTTTTAAAAAAAAAAACACGGTGCTGAGCACCTTGAAGGCTTCCAAGCAAACATCTTGAGATGGTCAAGAAAGAGGTTTAAAGAGGCCCTCCTCCCTCGAGATCCCCCTTGTCTTATCTTTGCAAACCTGATTTAGGCATTCAAGGCTGGTGAACTTGGGGGAAAAAAACCCCACGTTTTCCTCTCTTATTTAAGGGAACACCTATCTTGATCAAGAAGGTCTACGCTGCCTAGGAAGGCATGACTGCCACTAAATTGAGCCAGAAAAGCAATAGGACAAAAATAACTAGAAGGGAGGGTTTTGGGGGGGGGGGGGCGAGGGCCGGGTCAAAGATTACATTTAAGGCCAAGTAAACTTTTGCTGGTTATTCTAACTTCTACGATGGTTAAATCTCAGGTTTTAGAAGGCCTTTTAGTGATGGCTTTTGTGAAAATCCGTTTCAAACATTGCCAAAATAGAACGCTGCCTGGTTCCCCTGCGCTACCTACCTACTACCCCATACTGGCCCATTAAATACGAAAGTGGCTCGCCGACTTCTGTTATCGACAGCAAAGGTTATCTTTTCCCCAAAGAGAAATTTTTTAAAAATATTTTTTTTAAATAACAATAAAACCAATTTGTGGTATGATGGCAAAAACTCCCACTTGGTGCCAAACGCCATCCCTTCCGATGCACCTAAGGGGGCGAAGATTTAAAACGCTGTTTTATTTAAAATGTTTTTTTAAAAAACAAAATAAAATTCGTTGGGCTGATGGGTTTACTCGGAGGATGAATGTATTCGAGCGCTTTATGTTTATGTTGAGTTCCAGATCTTGGGAGCTATCTTTTTATTGTATTTATGTTTCCAAAAAAAAAAAAAAAACCAAAAACCATCCCTCAAAATAGGTCTGGAGTTTCCTGGTGCTACGTCAATGGCCGATTGGATTTGTTTGAGGAAATGTTTGAGTGCCATAAAGGGGGGGATCACAAAACGGGGAGACCTGGCCTTAGCTGTTGACGGTTAGTGTGAAAATGATCCGTCCCAGAAACCGATCGTTGTTCACCGTGTTGATAATTCCTTTCCCATTCAGCTGGCACTGAAGGTCCAGGGTTTGGTTTCTTGTAATTCCTGTGAAATGAATAGCTACCACGGGCTGCGTGTAGTTCACCTGGAAAAGGATCAACCAAGCGAGACCTTTTATGTCAGACTCGGAAACGGCGCAAAATGGGAAAGCAATGAAAAACAACATAAGCGATAAAACGTTTACCGGTGGGCTCTAGGAACAGGTTATCCCTTTGAGCAGTAACCATCATTAGAGAAAGCCCTGAAAAAAATGCTGTCGGGTAATCCTCTGCTTATAACAACACTTGGGCCTGGAACTCCCGTCACTAAGCCGTGGGGTCATTACACCTGATTTTATGCACTTTGTCACCATGGTTCTTAAGTGAATCGCCAGAGGTTTGGGTGAATCCCACAGTTGTTAAGCTTCCCCCATGGACTTTAGTTGTCGGAAGCTCCCTGTTGTGGACTGTCGGTCGCCGGCCCCTCCTACAGCCGAATCAGATGAGGAGGAGGCGGTGTGGGAGTCAGGGTTAGCATCAAGGCAGCCTGAGAGCTCCGAGGGGAAAGAGGGAACGGGGCTGGCAGAGAGGCAGAGGCGGAGCCTGGGCCGTCCATCAGCCCTCAGATGGAGAGTCAACAGCCCCCAGGTCTGGAGGTGGCTGATGAGGAAGAGGAGGAAAAGCTGGGTCCAGTGCCTGATGCATGGATGTGCAGAAGGCAGAGGAGAGGAGAGAAATAGAAATCTATGGGCCGGTCCTTGGGACGGAAGAGCCACCCCGCTGCTGGCGAAACCCCGCCCTAGCTCTGGGGATAAAAGGCAGGGGGCAGAGGTGAGTAGGCGTGGCAGACAGCTATTCATGTCCCTACTGGACAGACTTGTTAACCTGTGGGGAGAGAGAAACTTTTTCCCAGGGCTGCCGGCACTCCTAACAAAAGGAATCATTGCTTCAACTACAGAGGGTTTGTCGGTGTATAGGGAGCTGGGTCAGGACACTCCCCAGAAAGATCGCAAATAGTGACCACATCTTCCTGGGATGCTATGAATGCCATAAATACATGCCAAGCACCCAAAGTTTGATCCCACAACTGTGGGACACTGCATCGGTCATAAGTACAAGGAAGAGCCTCGTAACTTTGGACGTTCAACTAAAGGTTTAACTACCTCTATTGGGCAAAGTTCTGTCTGAAATGGTATGGATCTCTTGCTTGAGCAGGGGTTGGACTAGAAGACCACCAAGGTCCCTTCCAACTCTGTTATTCTCTAACTGAACTGATATTAGGTCATTAAAAACACGATTGTGACTTTGATACAAAATTGTAAAATATTTTTTTCAAGCATCAATAGAGCAAGGATAAGTGCTGGCAGAATTGTACAGAGTGTATCTCCAGCAGTTCAAAACATCTGGAGGCCACCAGTGTGGACTTTTTCTCCAGAAAGCCTCCTCGATACCAAAAGGGGTGATTCACACAAACATTAATCCAACGGTTAAATTTCTACTTACGTGCGAAAGTTTGCCATAATAAGGGAAATACATGGGATCAAATGTCTCGCTTGGGAAGAAGTCCAGTGACTGGAGGTGACTTTGTTCGCCTTTCTGCAATCCAAAAACAGAATAATTAAGCCAACATACATGACAAATCGACAACCGGCGACTCCGTTGATAGAAATCGGCTAGCCACTGTACCCAGATATAAAAATTGTCCTTCCCTTCTCCAAAACGTCCTGACAATTTTGGATTACAAGCAGGAGTGGGCTTTCAAAAATTTGAGCAACAGGTTCTCTGCCTGGTTGCTTGGTGGGTGTGGCCTAGTCGGCCTCCTGCACCACAGCAGGGTGGTTTCCTTGAGTCTCCGGGAGGATGAAAACGGCCTTCCCGGGCTCCGGAGGCTCTCTGGAAGCCGGAAATGGGCCCATTTCTGACCTTCCCAAACTTCTGGGAGGCCCGTTTTTCACCCTCCCCGAACCACTTCACAGGCCCTGCACTTACCTGCACCCAAAACAGGCTACGTGGGGATTCCGGGGAGGGGGGAGGGGCAGGGTGGATAGGCCCAGCCAAAGTGGGATTTGGGGGTTCTCTAAACTGCATAGTATCTTAGGGTCTCTCCCGAACCCCTGCGAACCCCCAGCAGCCCACCCCTGATTACAAGCAGTACTTCATTTAACGGCCACAATGGTCGTCAACAGTTCTGTTGCCGAGACATTTCTTCAGCGACTTTTTCCCCATCTTACGACCCTTTCTTGCCACAGACACTAAGGGAATCATGGCAGCGGTTAGATTAGTAACGTAGTTGTTAAGTGAATCTGGCTTCCCCGTTGACTTTTGCTGGTCAGAAGGTTGCAAATGGAAGGTCACGGGATACCGGCCCATAGATTTCCACTGCTCTCCTCTCCTCTGCCTTCTGCACATCCATACCTCAGGCCCTGGACCCAGCTATATCAATCGGTGGCTAATTATGTGAATTTTGATCAGGTGATCAGGGGGAGGTTGCAAGGGTTGTAGGTATGACAAACACTCCTCAGTTTTTTTCAGTCCCATCGTAACTTATAATGGTCACTAAATGAACTGTTAATTGAGGAGTATTTGTAATTGTTTTAAGGAACATGGGGCAGGTGATGAGCAGTTTTTCCTGCCAAAAATCCTGCAGAAATTATTGACAATCATGGGAGATGGGAGATCCTTGGCCTTGATGTAGACAGTGGCAAAAAAAAGGACAGAAGTTGTAAAATTGGGCGCAATTCATTGACCGCATCACTTAGCGATTGGAGTTTGAGTCCCCATTGCAGTCGTAAGTCAAGGACTACCTGAAGACCCTTATAGCTAAACCAGGGTTGTTCCTCACGTCATTTACAGAGTGCCCAGGCTGGTAAAATCCGATTTAAATGGTAACTACCTCTTGCTGTTCACAGTATTATGTCAAAATTGTGTCTCATTAAAAAGAAAAAAAAAAGGAGGCTGGATAGGTTTGGCTCAAAGTGTTTTTGGCTGCCAAGAATATCTGGTGCAAATTTGCAAATGGAACCAATAAAATCAAGATAATTTACCTGGATTTTGCAACTCACAGTAATTGGAGTGCCATAGCCAGGCTGATACCCGATTATCTGCAAAAAAAAAAGCTTTTTTAATTCCCTTTAAAAACACGTCGATTTTCTAAATTTTGCTGCCGGTAAAAATGAAAAAAAAAAAAAACAAGAGATCAGAAGTTACAACTGTTTCGAACTTCCTATTGCTTTCTTTTCAAGGGCCACAGAACTGTTCACACAGCCTTCCTCGATCTCTCCTTACCCAGTGTTATTTTTATTTTCATCATCCAATTTATATGGCTCCTCATCAGAGCAGAATGCCCAATATCTAAAGGAAGCAAGCTTAAGACTGCCCCCTGATTTGAAACAACACAATATCGAAGTCCGTGTTTTTCAAACTTTGCAACTTTAAGATGGATGGACTTCAACTCTCCTGGAGTCAATCTATTCTCCAAAGCACCAGAAGGCAGGACAAGAAGCCACGGATGGAAACGCATCAAGGAGAGAAGCAATCTGGAATCAAGGACAAATTTCTTGGCAGAAGTTGTGTGAGAACTCCATCACTGGAGGCTTTTAAGAAGAGATTGGATCGTTGTTTGCCTGGAATAGCATAGGGCAGGGGTCTTCAAACTTAACAGCTTTTAAGACTTGTGGACTTCAGCTCCCAGAGATCCTCCTCCAGTCATGTTCGCTCAGGAATTCTGGGAGTTGAAGTCCAAAAGTCTTAAACTTGCCAAGTTAGAAGACCCTTAGCATAGGGTCTCCTGCTTGAGTAGGACTACAAGACTTCCAAGGTCCCTTCCAATATTGTTATTTTGTTAAGCCACCGTTCCTTCTCCCTTGCTTCATGTCCACCTACGTGCTTGACTTGAACCCACTACAAGCATCTTAAACCTCTAAAACCCACCCCCAAGGGGACCTGCCAGCACTCAAACCTCTCAAGTCCACCCCATGGGGAAGTAAGCAAGTATAAAATGACCTTACGCGATTCATCTTTAGCAATATGCAAGGCTGGCCCTGTGAATATCCAAAGGTCTGGTCCTGAACTCCGGAGCACTTCATCAACTGGGACCTCTTGAATTGGCAAGCTTTCTTCACCGCAGTTTCATCACTGTCTTGCATGAAATAGGCGCCCGGGGTGCAAGGGATGTTTTTGGTTTCTTGAACCTTGTCGTCATACTCTAAAGACAACAGAGAATGTGGAGGTCCTGTAATGTAGATCTTACTGCAACGCGTTTCAATGCTGGGCTTTTGTTCTGACTCAACTCCCCAAATACAACAAACTCTCTGGTGTGAACTCAAAAGATTCCTTTATTAGGAATGCTAGCAGCCCTGGCAAAAAGTTCCTCTCTCAGGCTAACTAGTCCGTCTGTCTGGAAGATAAATAGTTGTCTGCCACATCTATTCATCTCCGCCTCCTGTATTTTATCCCCAGAGCTAGGGTGGGGCTTCACTAGCAGCGGTGGCTCTTCTGTCCCAAGGACCAGCCCATAGATTTCCACTGCTCTCCTCTCCTCTGCCTTCTGCGCATCCCTAATAAGGCACTGGACCCAGCTGTTCCTCCTCTTCCTCATCATCCACCTCCAGACCTGGGGGCTGTTGACTCTCCATCTGAAGACTGATGGACAGCCCAGGCTCCGCCTCTGTCTGTCTCTCTGACAACTCCATTCCCTCTTCCCCCTCGAAGCTCCCAGGTTGTCTTGATGCTGGTCCTGACTACTACTCCTCCTCCTCCTCTAATTCAGCTGCTGGAGCAGCCGGTAGCTGACACACCACAACAGCTTTTCAGGATAAAAAAAGGCTCCTTCTCTTTTCAGAATCAGGACTGTTGGGAGGGAAGATGTCCACTATGGTTTTGGTTCTAAGATTTTCATATTTCTCTGATAGTAGTGGACTATACCAGAGCAGCATATAGCGAACCAGTCTGGCCTAGTGGCTAGAAATTAAGAGACCGGCAGTTCTACATCCACCTTAGGCATGAAAGCTGACTGGATGATTTTGGGCCAATCACACAGTGTGATGACCTAGAGTATTTCAGAAATACAACAAAAAACCAAAACGTAAATCAAGATCCTTTAATGCCTTCAACTTGGCTTCCCTGTTTAATTGTTCACAGTGGAGGAGTAAACTATTTTCAAAATAACATTTCAAAGGAAAAAAAAAAACAGTTCAAATTCAAAGAGCTGATAACGAAGCAAAAACCAAAAACAAACCGCATTGAATAAAGTTCCACGACAGACCAGGATGGATAATTGCCAACTTCAGGAAGATAAGCAGGGACAGTCCGTTGGAAGAACGCCAACCAAGATAAACCTTCTTTAGGAATAAAACACTAATTTGTCTCCAGCGTCTGTTAGCACGCAGGTCCAAACTCTTATGCAGATCTCACACCTGCAACCCATGAAGAGGATCATGGCCCTCTCCTCCCAAGTAGACCACGTTCTACCTGATCCTCTCCTCCCTGCGTGCCCTAGTCTGGATAGGGGATGGGCCTGGATCCTCCTCTGACTGCTCAGCCGGCCTCTGCCCTTCCCCATCCTCCTCCACCACCTCTGGAGCCACACTTCCACTCCCTGTTGGCTGTTCCTCCTCTTCCTCAGTGTCAGTCTCCACCAGAGGCATGACCCACAGCTTATGCATACAATGTTTTTAAAACTACATATTTCTTTGCAGAAGGGCGCAATTTTTGCTTTTCTTAAAGGCAAATACCGTTCAAATAGCAAACTTTGGACGTGTTTCCCAAGTCTTTATAGAGCTCTTAATAGCTGAAGATGTCAGTCAAATTGACTTTGTTTCGTTTCTCTTTACCGTGTGGAATGGTTGGGTTTGGAAATCAAAACAGGAATGAAAAAGGAAATGCTGCAGCTTTTGGGAGGCAAAAGAAAAAAAAAGTAAACACAGACAATGAATAGATAAACAGTTACACAAAGGAGGAAAGGAAGGGCACCTTTTAAGAACAGTTCCAGGTTGTCCACATAAGGCTGCCATGAACTAGGTTGCGAGACTCTGAAGGCAATGTTGTAGGCCTGCTTTATGTATGGCCTAATCGTAACTCCTGCGAAAATAAATTTTAAAAGGAAAAATAAAACAAAATTCTTAGATCAACCCCTCCAAAGCATCCTTTCCTATGATGTTGACCAACTCTTCCCCAAAATATGGCAGATGCAAGGACGATGAAACATATGCAATTTGTAAATGGGTATGTATCAATTATTTCATATCCACATCATAGTTGCCTCTAATTTTAGCCAGCATAGAATAGCAATAATGCTTAGACTTATATGCCACTTTATAGCGCTTTACAACTCTCTCTAAGCAGTTTACAGAGTCAGCCTCTTGCCCCCCAACAATCTGGGTCCTCATTTGACCAACCACAAAAGGATGGAAGCCTGAATCAAGCTTGAGCCGGTGAGAATCAAACTGCTGGCAATCAGCAGAATTAGCCTGCAATACTGCATTCTAACCACTGCGCCACCACATATCTTCTCTGCTCTAAGTCCCTCCACACAGATGTGGAATTCTACCTGATTGGACCGGCTCTATAGAACCGGTTGTTATGATTCTGCCCAGTTCAGAGAACTGGCAAGTTGCACCACTGGTTGGCCCCTCCCCTCCTCGCCCCACCTACTCACTCCTTACCTGGCATGTGCGCCATCCAACTTGTCTGTGTTAGCCTAATTTTTTATAAGTTGCTATTTTTCCTTTTTTTTTCCCCCCGACCATCCAGTGTTCTGCTGTGCCGGGTGATTTAGATTAGCTAGAAAGCTGGAAATCATTGGATTTCTTTCTTTCTAGCTAATCTAAAAGCAGAGCTGAACCTTCCTTAGGACTGAAGCTTCTATTTTTCAGTGCAGACTCAGGTAGCAGATTGCAGAATGATAGATCTCTGAGTGAATCTATGATTCTGTGAGCAACTCAATCTGCCTGCCTGCTTTGCCTGATTTTGGGTAAAAGTTGCTCTCTTTTTAATAAAAAAAAGTTCAATATTTACATAAATATTTACAATATTTACATACAAGCCATGCTCATCCAGTCACGTGACCACCAAGCCACACCCACAAATTATGCTACCCCCACAGAACCGGTTGTTAAGAAATTTGAATCCCACCCCTGCCTGCACACCCTAGGTGTCTTCCCTTCCAATGGACGCCTTACAAGCCGCACTGGAGCACTTACCTGGTGGGGCAACCCTGTCCCTGTATCTTGGTGTGTAAGGGCTCAGCATGATCAAGACTACGTACATATACAATATGAACATGCCAGCCAGGAACGTGTACAGGACAATGTAAAACAGGAGTATCAGACCTGAAAGACAGAGCAGAGCTATTAGCTGATGGCCTCGTGATGGGTGATCCATCAGCGGGGGGTTTCAAGAAGAGACGGGACGGCCATTCCATATTCTGTGCTGTTCTATACTTTCCTGATTTCTACTCTATTCCATTCCATTCCATT